AACAGGAGAGGAGTTTGGCTGTTTGAAAAGCCCGGCTTGGAACTCCTCTCCTGTTCCTTCTTTTGCTGTCTGTACATGCAGTGTGGGTTGCACTCCCTTTTCTTTCATAGCCAGCTCATTTTCAATTGTGGTGGGGATCCATGGAGAGGGACGGAAAAAGTTAATTTCTTCCCCCCTCCCCCAATTGGAAACGAGCTGGCTATGAAAGAAAAGGGAGCACAACCCACACTGCATGTACAGACAGCAAAAGAAGGAACAGGAGAGGAGTTCCAAACCGGGCTTTTCAAACAGCCAAACTCCTTTCCTGTCCCTTTCTTTTGCTCTTTGAACAAGCCGTGCGGATTGCACTCCTGATTCTGGGGATTTCCCCCCAACACCAAAAAAAAAGACCAGCTGCTCGTCTCTCCAAATCTTGTGGCTTTTCAGGATCTTCTTTTTAAAAAACGCCTCTCCGGGTGATCTTGAAAACCTGCAAGGTTTCTTTGGAAGGGGACTGATGGGTAGCATTTCCCCCTGCCCCCCTCCCTGGGTGCCTGCAGCCTCAGAACCTGCAGCCTTAAAGCAAGCCTTTGCACAGTAAAGAAAATCTCACAAGCGAGAGAAGTTTTTAGTTGCCTTTACTGTGCAAGTTGCTGCAGGCCCCGAGGCTGCAGGCAACCAGGGATGGGGTGGGGTGGGAATGCTGCCTGTCTTCCCCCTCCCAAAGCAACCTTGCAGGTTTTCAAGATTGTCTGCAGAGGCATTTTTAAAAAGAAAACGGTCTTCTTGGGAGGGGGAATGGACTGCACTCAGAGGAGCCAGGGCCCTGGGCGCCCTGAAGCAGCGCCAGCCAACATGTCCATAAGAAAAGCCCCAAGGGCAAGTGTGGCAGCGCCGCACCCACCTCCGCCCTGCTGGCCTCCTAGCAACCCTTCCCCGCCATCTCCTACTCAGCAGGCAGGCCGGGTAGGGGCGCGGGCATGACCCATGAGAGGGTGGTTAACAGGGGGCGCTGCCCAGCCAGTCCTCACTCAGCAGCAGTGGCGGGTTGCACGATGTTGCCTTCAAGGTAAGCAGTGGGCACCACATGGCCAGGGCAGCGGGCTCACCGGCGCCCACCCAGCCACCACTCAGTGGGCGGGCTGGCGGGTGGAAGGTTGCCCTGGCGCGACCAAGGTGGCACATTGTGTGGAGGCTTGGCGGGCATGAAAGGCTCCTGTCTTCCCTGACCAGGCTGGAGCATGGGACAGCTCGCAATAGGCACGTCTTTCGCTTGCAGAGTGAAGATGTGGCACTCAGAAGTGGCGGTGGGCTTGTTTTCCAGTTGTTCCTGGCCCTGCAAAGGTTCCAAAAGTGCCTAGGTTCTGGGACACCCCGTGCTATGCCCGCTTCCGCTGCCACCACCTCTGCTCCCAAACACAACTGTCAGCTGCGAGCAGGTGCCTGAAGCTGCTTTTTGCAGTCATTTACGGCTGCAGAAAGATTGTGCGGGAAGCTCTTCGCCTTGTGAGAGCTCCTCTCCAGCACTCCTAGTTTGGTAACATTATCATTGCTAGAAGGGAGTGGGGTTGGTGGTGGAAAGAAAGAGAAAGGACAAACAGGAGAAAGAGAGGGAGAAAGAGGAGGTGGGGGATAGTGGGATCCTTGCTGCTTTCTGAGCTTGGTGGTATTTTTNCTCCATTTCAAAGCTGAAAAGCCAGCGCTGTCCGAAGACGTCTCCATGGTCATGTGGCCAGCATGACTAAACGCCGAAAGCACACAGAAAGCTGTTACCTTTCCACCAAAGGTGTTTCCTATTTTTCCACTTGCATTTTTTTACAGGTTGGCAGGATCTGGGACAAGTAATGAGAGCTCACTCCATTATGCGGTGCTAGGGATTCGAACCTTTGAATTGCTGACCTTTCTGATCAACAAGCTCAGCGTCTTAGCCACTGAGCTACTGCATCCCTCTACTTACCAATTGGCAGTTTATACTATATGTGTACAAAACCTCAAATCAATAAAACAATGAGGTTTTTCCCTGCCTATTTAACTCTGATGCCTACAAAAATGTTTTCTATACTTAACATTGCATATACTTAAGAAAGAATTTGAGAAGTGTTAAAAGGACAAGTGCCAAGAAGGAAAAATGAAAAGAAAGTAGTGCCACAGAAGACCTATTAGAAACAAACCTCCATAGATGTGTACCTCACATGAAAATATCATATGTCTGACTTTGGATTTTTACTTAAGCAGATGACCATTTAGGGCTGTTATAACTGAAGATGGGCAAGTTGAAACAAGTTTAAAAATCTTTGTCCTAAGTAAATGAAAGGAGATCTATAGAATCTTTTTTTATAAACATCTTTCTCCAATATGTGTACAGCAACTGTAGGGATTGTAAACAGAAAACAATTGTATTCCACACACCAAAGTAGATGTTAACTTTAAAGAATGGATACATTACATTTGGTAAAATAAATAACACTGCTTATCAGATATATTGTTTGTGGGATCATGTTCAATTTTTCAATTTACTAGCAACATTAAGGGCCAAGGAGAAGAATTTCCATTCTAAATAAAAATATTTTGGTTTAATCTAAGAGTACTGGAAGATTGATGTGTGATTAAAATAGGCTCTTTTTCATATTAGTTGTAATTCTGGAATAATGCTAATTTGAGAATGTTGACACTATGGACTCTTTCTATCTCACAGCATCTGCAATTACAGAAACAGGATATTGGTTCTCATGATTGCTACCCTAAAAGCACTGATGGCAAAGACTGGTAAAATAACACTGCTATTTCAAGAGCACAAAGAGTTAAAACAGAACAATTTTTAAAATGTTCAAGAAGTGATTATTTTAAAACTAGGACAGAGAAGCAAGCATATTGCAACATTTATAAAAGGTAAACAGAGGAAAGAGTGATACGTACTTTGCCCATTATACTACCACTATGGTATTCTGGAGGTAGCTGTACTTGAAGAAAAGATTTATGGTTGGCAGCCTATTCCAAATTGTAATGGAAGACGAGAAGGATTCAGATTTTAAAAACAAGACACATGGAAAAGGAAAGAAATGTTAACAAAAAAAGGAAAACAGCAAAGTATATATGTTTCTGTGTCAGTATGCTTGCCATGTACATGTACAATACAAAGGTTAATGGAATGTATAATTACAAACATTCCTTAGGAAGCAAGAATATTAATTGATAACAATTACACTTAATTTTTCATACTGAGATATGTCTATGGAGATTCTCAATCATCCAGGTCATGGTGAACCCCAAGGGGCTTTTCAAAAGGCAACTGGACTTTCTTGTTTCTATCAGTTTCTTCTATCTATCAGTTCAGTTCAGTTCCTGAACTGAAGAATCTTCTTGGATGAGAAATGAAACGCTTTCAAGGGAAAAAAACCAAGAAGTCCAGTTGCCTTTTGAAAAGCACCTTTGGACCATGCTAGGATATTTCTTTAAAATCCATTAGGCTAAGTATTTTAATATTTTTATAAAAATCGTTTGGAATGGGCATTCACCAATTCAGACTTCTTCAAACTTCAGAATTGGGCATAGGATATTGCAAACCTTCATTATATGCAAGACCAGTTCTGGTTTGGAAAAATAAATTCTGGGACATAAGAAGTTGCTGATAGGTCAATCTTTCTTTAATGGTGTACATTAGTAACTTTTCATTTTAATTGTTTATTTTATAGGAATAAAGGAGGATAAAATTTCATTTCAATATTAAATTAGTCTTTTAAAAAAGC